TGGACCTCTTATTCTGTGCTGTAACGCAACGGCACGGTCGGGGAGAGAAGTCACATGCTTGCTGAAATGCACGTAGCTCACCTCCCGGGTCAGGAAAGCAAGGAAGTTGTGAGTACTGTGTTACAATGCGGTGCAAGCACGGGGCTCTTTCTCCTCTGGGTTCTGGACGTCTCTGTCTGAGATGTGTGGGCTCTGTGTGTTTTGCCTCCCGGTCACTGTGGCCGTCCGGACAGCCGTTGTGCGTCTGCATATGCTGCACAAAGGCTGCCCAGTGAAGCAGGGAGTTGCTCGCATCCAGCCGTTGCGATGCACGCAATTCCAGCTCAGCAGGCAAGAAGGGTATTTTGACCCTTTGAGTACAGCAGTCCCATCTTCTCTAGGGGAGAGCAGCCAAACACGCAACAAGATTTTCCTCTGTCCCGTGAGAGGGGGGTGGGCGGGCAGTCTCCTTGGGATTGCCTTGGCAATACAGCAGCGCTAACGGTGTTGGCATAGACTGTAACTGTACAGAGTTGTGAAAACGTGTTCGTTGTCTTCAGGTGGATTGTATGAAAACTCCACAAGTCGCTTCAAAGGACTTTGTGTGAAGGTAGAATCGAGATGACCTTGGAAAAGGGCCACTGAGTTTGGTGTCGCCATTGTTGTTCCCAAATCCCAAGGCTCCCTGATGGGAGTGGAAAGCTGTCCCGATACGATTTTCTGGGTTTGCGTTAGAGCACTTGCATTCTCCTTTTTGCCCCTTCTCCTTCGACTCTGCGAACTGTGTTTGAGCATTGTCTTACCTGTTCCTCTTAAGAAGGACTGTCCCCCCACGTATGATAACGGATTGTTTGAATGAAGGCAGCGTGGCACGGAATATTTGGAAACCCTCACGCTGTGTTGTGCTGCAGTTCTAAACTGTACCGCTGTAAACCGGGAGACCCTTGTGTGTAAAAGTGAAATAAAAAGAGCACCCAAATGCCTCGTGTGGAGACAGTCGTCTTTGTGGAGGTGTTCTTTCTGGGAAAGCTCTGTCAGAGTTCTCAAAAGGCTGGGAGTTTTTCTCTCGTTTTGTGCCTTGGCTGAGGTAAAGTTGGGCGGGTACCTTTCTTCAGTTTGGGGGCACGGCCGATAGAGCATTCAGGAAAACTGTGGGGAGCAGGGATGTGCTGGCAGAGCTGTATGGCTCCTCCGAGCACTGAGCCTCTGGCTGCGACAGGGCCCAGTTAGATCCCGGTCAGGGGCAACTGGCCCCTACCCTAACAGGGGCCTGGGTGTGCAAAGGCCTCTGCAAAGCGGTGAGGTGTGGGGAGTGACCTTTCCAACTCTCCTGACAGCTCCAGCTGCAGATGGCAACTGTGAGGTGTTCGAGCACAAAGTCTTTTGCTTCTAAAGGTTTTGGGGGATGGATGGCACAAAGACAGCATACGTGTTCCTTGGGGGAAGTGTTTGGGGGAGCCCCAGGAGGTGGGCATTTGGTGAGCCAAAGCAGCTACCAGGGGGAGGATTCACCCTCGGAAATGCAGAGGACTACAGCTGTCCCTTCCGCAAGGCCCTGATAAAAAGGTAAGTCCTGAGGACAGGCTGGTGTGGTGATGCTGACCAGAAGACCGTGGTACCTCGAGGACTGAGTGATCCACTGTCCAGTTAATCTGAGAAGGCGCAGGCCTGTGCCGTGCTGTGCTGCGCTGCATAAATCCCTGGTCTGCAGGATAAATTCAGCCAGCTCATTGTAACCGAGGAACCTGCAGGCAGCTCCCGCTAGGTACTGGTGAGAAAGCCACCTGCGAGCAAGAAGTCCGCATGGGCGCTTCTTTTACTGTGACCGTAGAAATGATGAACAGAATTGCCGTCTTGCAGGAAAATCCTGAAGTGGCTTGAATGACTGAAACGGGGGCACTCTTTCTTTTCTTTTCTACGACCGGGGTCTGCATGGCATGCTGTGCGTGGCCGGAGTCCTGCGTGAAGCTACTCTGCTCAGGGTTCTCCACATCTGAAGGGACGTAGGATTATCTGTGCTAATCTCTTCCAATATTCTCCGATTCTCTGATTCTCTGACTCTCGTCTATCATTCTGTCATTCCGTGAAGCACTGCGGTGGGCAGGACTTGTCAGAGAGACTCTCCTGAATGCATGCGTGTCCCGTGAATCTGTCAGCCCTGTTATCAGGGGTGACCGCAAGCGCGGGGCTGCCGCAGGCGCTGTTCGCTGGGCAGGAGTGGGAAGCCGGCGAGGCGGAGGGCCGCTTCCCAGCGCCCGAGCGCTGCAGTTGCTGCCTGCGGCTGCGAGCGTCGCTGTTGGCTCACGATAGGCCGAAAGGCGGGGCGCCCGCCGCCCCCCGGGGCTGGGGGGAGCCGGCGAGCGAGCCGCGGGGCTGCAAGGTCCGAGCCCGAAGCAGCGCGGCGGGAGCGAGCCGAGCCGGGCTGCTCGGGGGAAGGCTCGGCGGGAGGAGCGCGGCGACAGCGGTGACCCGCAGGCCGGCTCCGGTGGGCGGAGGGGCGAGCGGGCGGCTGCTGCCGGGCTTTGCGATGGCGGAGAGAGGAGGGCGCTGGGGCCGGCGGGAGCGAGCCCTGCTGTGGTGCGTCCTGGCGGCGGCGTGGGAGGCGGCGTGGGGGCAGCTGCGCTACGCGGTTCCCGAGGAGATGCCGAAGGGCTCGTTCGTGGGCGACGTGGCCAAGGACCTGGGGCTGGAGCTGCCGGCGCTCCGCGACCGCGGCCTCCGCCTTTTTGATACAGGTAGGACGCAATTCTTTTTTTTGGACTTGCACAACGGCCACTTATCTATGAAGGAGCGGGTGGACAGAGAGGAGATATGCGCAGCTGTTGCTAAATGCTCTCTAAATTTCGAGATTCTTGTAAAAAATCCAATGAAGCTTTACAGAGGGGAGGTAGAAATACTGGATATTAATGATAATTCGCCGAGTTTCCCGGTAATGAAGAGCATCTTAGAAATCAGCGAGTATACTGCACCAGGCACGCGTTTCCCGTTGGAGAAAGCTCAAGATCCTGACATAGGAGTGAACTCTTTACAGAATTACGAGTGCAGCGAGAGCAGCTATTTCTCCTTGGACGTGAAAAACGGAGATGACGGTGTGAAATATCCGGAATTAATATTGGTGAAATCTTTGGATCGAGAGCAGCAGGCTGCTCACAAGTTGATCCTGACAGCCACAGACAGCGGGAGTCCTGTGAAATCGGGATCGACAACAATCCAAATCATTGTGTTAGATGGAAATGACAATGCTCCGGAATTTACTCAGCCCGTTTATAAGGTGACCGTGAGAGAGGACGTGGCCGTGGGAAGTCGGGTATTGCAGGTCACAGCGACTGACAGAGACGAGGGGCCAAACGCCGAGGTGAAGTACTCCTTCTTTAAAATCCCGGAGAAGTTCGACAAGACTTTTAAGCTGGATCCGGGAAGTGGAGAAATTGAGATAACAGAGAAGCTGAATTTCGAGGAACAGGAGTTTTACGAATTGGATGTGCAAGCCCGGGACGCGGGCGGACTCTCGTCCCACAGCAAGGTTCTCATCACGGTCGCTGATGTGAATAACCACGTCCCCGAGATTGTCATTATGTCTGTGTTCAGTCCGGTCCCAGAAGATACACCGCTGGGGACAGTCATCGCAATTTTCAACGTCCAAGACAGGGACTCGGGGGCGAACGGCGAGGTGCGG